TATTTTGTTTGCATGCCTTTGAGATCGCATGAATCACTTTTCACTATAAGAATCGAGTAGAGGCCAATATGGGCGAATGTGACTCCATGAATCACTTCGTACCATCATCCTCGATCCTCCTTTAGTGGTTCCGAACCATATGGAGTTAGTAATCTCATGGATTATGAATGGGGTGTAACCTTCACGGGTCAATCGTTGTTGCCTATCGTTGTCCCTTTATTCGTGGTTGCCTTTTATGATCCGTGAACGGTTTAAAAGTTCCTTAAAAACTTGTTGGTGGCTCCCTACTTTCCTTGTCCCTAATCGTATAATGTAAATTCCCACTTTCTATGAGTAACAAGCATATTCACATCATGCTTTTACGTAGGCGCACTTCGAGCGACGCCTACAGTCACAGAGGACAATACTTGGACCTCATACTTCGATGGAGCCTCAAACCAAAAGGGATGTGGCGTTGGAGTATTACTAGTATCACCTAAAGAAGAGCATGTTCCAATCTCCATAAATCTTGATTTTGACGTTACCAACAACGCTGCTGAATACGAAGTATGCGTGTTAGGCCTTGAAACAGCTTTGGCACTAGGAGTGAAGAAATTACGAATATTCGAAGACTCTTCATTGATCATCAATCAAATCTCTAAGATATGGAAATTAAGGAGCAAAAGCCTAGCACCTTACCAAAATTATCTGGAAACTCTCACTAATCAGTTAGATAAGGTGGAATACACGTATCTACCTAGAGAAGAAAATCAATTTGATGATGCCTTAGAAAGACTAGCCTCAATGGTTATGATTCCTACGAAAATCGAGCAAATGCCTCTAACTATAGAAAAAAAGGCATAAACTAGCTTACATTCAGACTATAGAAGATGATGAAGTGATCCAAGATGATGATGAAGAAGAAGAAGAAGAAGAGAAGAAGAAGAAGAAGAAGAAGAAGAAGAAGAAGAAGAAGAAGAAGAAGAAGAAGAAGAAGAAGAAGAAGAAGAAGAAGAAGAAGAAGAAGAAGAACCGTGGTATATGGATATACTTAATTATGTCACCAAAGGAGAATACCCTCCTCATGCTGAAAAAAAGAGCAAAACGAGCTTTAACACTCTTGGCTTCCCAATACGTACTCATAGACAACGAGTTACACAAAAGGGTACCTAAGGGTCGAACTCTCTTATGTGTAGTAAAAAAGGATGCTCAAAGAGCAATGAGGATAGTCCAAGAAGGAATTTGTGGAACTCACGTAAATGGCAAAATGCTAGTCCAAAAGATAATGCGCGAAGGATACTATTGGACTACCATGAATAGGGATTGTCATCAATACGTAAAAAGATGCCCTAAATGCCAAATTTGTGCCAATTTACAACATGTTCGTCCATCTCTACTCTACACCTACACTTCGCCATGGCCATTCTCTACGTGGGGAATTGACATTATTGGTAAAATCACTCCCCTAGGAACAGGAGGTCATGAATATATTCTAGTAGCAATTGATTATTTCACAAAGTGGGTTGAAGCGCAATCATACGCTAAACTCACTGCAAAATATGTAGCACTCTTTATCGAAAGAAACATTATTTGTCGATATGGAGTCCCACATTGATAAGTGACAATGGAACTCACTTTCAAGCCGAGTGTGAAGAATTGTTACAAAAATATGGCATTCAACACCATCATTTTTCTCCTTAAGCAAACGGAGCAGTCGAGGCGGCCAATAAAAATTTAAAGACTATCATCGAGAAAATGACAGAAAATTACAAGGATTGGCCTGACAAACTCCACTTCGCATTGTGGGGTTATCGCACGTGAATTCGCACATCAACAGGAAATACGACATTTTCCTTGGTTTGTGAAAATGATGACGTACAACCTGTAGAGCTAGAGATACCATCTCTACGCATTGCATTAGAAAGCAAACTCGATGAAGTTGAATGGACTAAGGCAAGATATGAGGAGCTAGTTCTACTCGATAAAAAATGACTAGAAGCTCTACATCATACTCAATGCTATCAAACTCGTGTGGCTAGCCATTTTAACAAGAAGGTCAAGACAAGAAACATCAAAGTAGGAGACTTGGTGTTAAAAGCATTAAGGAAAAATGTTCTAGATGCTAGGGGGAAATTTAGGCCTAATTGGTCTGGACCCTATATTGTCAAAACAATCCTATCAGGAGGCGCAGCAAAACTAACTGATATGGATGGCAATGAGTTCTTGAACATGACAAACCTTGACCAACTTAAAAAGTACTACCCATAATAACTTGAGTAGGACACTCAAGAGAGCTACGTTTGGCCTGATTCCTTAAGAAAGGATACGTAGGCAACCCTTTACAGGTGCAGGCACTTTATTTTCATCAAACCTTGCATCCCAAACTTAAAAATAAATTCGATAGAAAATCGACGAAACATTGGCGTCACAGAAAAAATCCCTGCGCCAGCCGATTAACTCTAGCCCCACACGACAATTCCTGTCGCCTGACGCCAGACTGCCGCAGCAGGCGCCAGTCGTAAAAGCGCGGCGCCATTTTTCTGCAAAGTCCCTGGGAATATTTCGGTGTTTTTCGGAAAATTTTGCGTTTCGTACTCGACAAATTTCTGAAAAATTAAATTTTCAGTTTTCATTGCTTTAATAAATTAAATTTAAAAGAGATGATTAAATTAAAAAAAGCTCCAATTTCATTAATAAAATAAATTAACAATTACATTATTGATGGAATTTAAATAAAGCTTAAACTTTAAATTTAATACTAAGTTTAATAATTGAAAGTTAAGCAATGCTTTAATCTTTTTTCTCTTTTTTTGCTCTCTTCCAATTTTTGTCCGCATCCGCTTCTTCATCCATAACTTTAGCTAGTAGGCATCCTTTAGAGGACCAACATTCAATTTTGGAGTAAATAGTTTCTCCCTTAGCTAGGACTCCATGTTTCTTCTCTACCCAAGCCTTCTTTTTTGAAGTGTCAGCTTTTTCTCTTTCCTTTATCCTTCGTAGAGCTTTTCTTCCTAGGCATTGTAGGTGTTTTGAACTCAACCTTTTCACCCAAGCGTTCCTTAACAGGAATCACTTTGTCACCTAAACGATTCTTCACATCATTTTTACTCTGATTTTTCTTCACTTTTATTTAATTTTAGAAGATTAAATAGCACCAAATTCTTCCGGCAAAGGGCTAATTTCATCACACCCTAGTCTAAAACAATGGGTATCCACATCCCAATATTCTAAGGCGGTATGAATTAAGTCTACATCAAGATCTACCCCCTTAACACCATAAATACCCCCCATATGAAAAAAGTCTAACTCTTTTCTCTCCTTGGCAGTTAGAGACCGACACCATTTATGAGTAAAGTTGGTAAAATTTTTGGAGACTAGAGACATGATTAGTATTTTTTTTCAAAAGCTAAGGTTATATTTAATCTTCTAAAATTATGAAGAAAATCGGTTGGGCAGGGGGCTATTTATACACAAAATCGGCACAGTTTCAATCCGGAAAGGATTCGGAGTCAGCGCTCATCAGCGCCATCCGCCAGACATTGGCGCCTAACGCCAGAGCCTGGCGCCAAACGCTAAAGGTTAGCGTCAGGCGCTAACCCAAAACACGAGGCGCCAGATGGCGCTGACGTGTCTTAACATACGAGCTTGGCGAGCATACGAGCTTTTCGGATAAAAAATAATGGCGAGCAAATTCTTTCAAATTAACTTTACGGTCTTTTATTCTTTTTTATATATACCCTTTTTCTAATTACATTTTTTCCTTCTTCTTAATTAATATATCAATTATATTAATTATATTTTTTTTTTGGATTTTTATTTTGGACTTAATTTTTAAGTTTTTGTAAATCCAATATTTTTATTTTTTTCATTTTTCTTTTTGGGGGAGAAAGTCGGATACCTTCCATCAATAATAAAAGTGACGGAATTTTTGCGCAAAATTAATAGTTATCACAACTCTTTGCACACACAAACATGCACATAAAAATGAAAAATGTAAATTAAATAAACTCATAGTAGTATGTATATACAAATATGTGCAATAAATGAGTTTAAAAAAGGGCAAAGTTCCATACAAGTCAAAATAAAAAAACACAGGAATAAACTACGGCGCCGGAGGACGTACACCCATCATCTCATAAAACTGCGCAGTACGAGGAGTAACCTCTCCACCAGCTCCAGCTTTAACTTTAGTCTCCTCGGGAGGTGGAAAACTCAGCTCAGGACCCGTCCACCCAAGATCAACCTGAGGCTGAGGCTGCGGAGGCTGCTGCGATGACAAGCCGACCTCGTACATCCCACCACCTCTAACAGCCGAGGTAGCCTCTCCCTGGCCTACCGGCGCAACACGTGCACTCTAAGATGAAGAGCCTGAGCCCTCCACCGCCTCGGTCCGGGAAACCTCAGAACGACCACCCCGACCACTAGAACCAGTACGGCGACATCTCGAGCTAGACCTCGCCGGATCTCTCGTCACCTCACGTCTCGCCCGGGTACGAGAAGGAATGGGTTGACCCTGCAAGAAGAAACTAAGTCAGAAACAATCAAATTAGAAGCAGTAATGCATAAGAAGGGAAACTACCTCCTGAACGACGTCATCACGCCGACATGTAGCCACATTCCTCATCCGAACGAGCTAGCTCCGGAAGGCATCTATGCATCGTGCCATCGCCGTGACCACCTCGCGCGAGAACTGTCAAGGAAGTAAAGTTAGTAATAATGCATAACATATATAAACAAAAATTGCAAATAAATAAAGCTTACCCGACTCTGGTGACGAGGAATCGACCGCTCCACGAAGCGCTTTCCCTCAGGAACCGGAGGAATCATCTCCTCGATCGGCCCGTACGTCCCCTGATAATGGATGGACATACGAGGTGGCACGAACTCAGTAGGCCCATCCTGACAAAAGCAAACCAAAGTCAGTAAAACATTACTTGGGGGCTACTTAACGGAAGGTAAAAGATGAAAATCATACCGCCACCTCCTCAGCTAGTACAGGGACTGTAGCTAACAACGGCAGTAGCTCCTCCTCATAGCATCGCCCAGGGATCGTATAAGATCGCCAAGGAGTGCCAGCTCTCTCTAACATGCTCGCCAATCTGGCGACATTGAACATGTGACGCGGTGGAGGAGCAGGAACGACGAAAGTGTCTGAGGAATGCTGAATAGAAACCCTCTCTCCAAGATATGCAACTGCTCCATATGTCCCTAAGAAATAGCGATGCTCAGCGGTATACTGCGCGGCTAACCCAGGAACAATCCAGCCGACCCACGGCTGGTACTGCACGTGAGGCTCTAGCAAAGAACGCCTATCAGATAAGAATCCATCAAAGGTAATACGAAAGTGTTCAAATATGCAAAGAACCATACCGAGATGATCTGATCTCGAACATAGGCTCCAGCAAAGAACGCCTATCAGATAAGAATTCATCTTGTTAACGGGCATCAATTGTTGAATTTTTGTTCCTCTCTTCGGTATTATCTTCAATTTTCGGTAATCCCCTTGCTCTTGTCATCAATTTTCCCTAATCTCTTTGTTATAGGCATCAATTTCGTAATTTTTGGTTGATAGATATCAAAATTTTCTTTGTTTATTCATTGCATGTTCTGGGAATTCATCTTGATAACGGGATTTCAAAACGGTGGACGCAGAGAAGTCAAGAATATATATCACAGGTTAGGGTCTAATTAATTAGATACTTCTTTTATAATACTTTTTATTTTTGATTGGTATTTGTTTTACTTGATTATGTTTATTGAATTGTTGAGTTTTTTGTGATAATTTTGTGAAATTTTGATTTTTTTGGGGGGTTTGTGGGTTAAAATTTTAATTTTTTTATGGAGAGATAAATTACCACTCTGTTTATCATATGACAAGGTGTACATTTTTGTTGATATTCTTTAATTTTAACCTGATCATCATACAATCCTCCCAAAAGTTGTTTCAGTTTCAGAGCTAAGTTTGTAGCTCATGAATAGGCAGTTGAATATGAACTGTTATAATTTGTGATAAAAAAAAAAGAGTTTGCAAAACAAATTAGTCTTCTAGTTTTCTGTTTTTAAATCCTTAAATGTACATTGTCATTGTTTAACTTTTAAAATATGAAAATGAAATTAAGCCACTACTTTATATATATACCTACTTATAATCCTAACAACTATAATTTATTTTCTAATATGAAGCAAAATAAGTTAAAATAAAGGCATCAGGTTATAATATATCCAGTTCATCGCATGACAGATGTTGCTGTTGTTTATTGTGTGGATATATTTTGTTGCTATGGTTGAAAAGACTCTGTACTCGGTAATTTTTACCCAATTGCTTGTCTGGATACTTGTTCTTATATTTTTGAAATCCATGGATGTGAATAAGTGATGTTCATGATAGGCAAAGATAGTGACTAATATTAATTTGGACAATATTTGATGGCTTGACTATTTTGGTTGACATTCATATTGCTATCTTAGACTTGCTTATGAAGATGACTGAGATTGTGTTTTGGTTTTCAATGCTCATGTCATCATGTGAGATGGAGTACCTATGTAGTACAATAACATACATATATGAGACACTCTGACTTGATATGTTATTGAGAAGTGATTCATTGAGGGATAACTTTACAATATGTAAGAGCTACTGTTTTTATTGTGCAAAGGTGACTGTTTATATAGTCAGAGGGTTACTTGCTTGCTGGTGCCTCGCTTACAAATTGGTTGATTCGTACTTATCGAGTTGTTCACTTGGTATCTATGTGTTATTATTCAAGGAAAGAGTTTCATACTGTTTTTTAATTAAGTATCTTGGCTGGTTGCTGTGTTAGTGATTATTAAATGAGTATAACTTGATGAATTTGGTCACCTTATATTTTCTTATCATTTCCTTGCATATTTTTTTTCTTTTTCGTAAGACATATTGACATTCTTAATCACTCATGATATTGTTGAGCTCATTCATGTTAAACTTTCATGAGAGTTATCTAAGATCAGAGAAGAAGAGTGAGACTGAGACTGTGACTCCGTGAGAGTAACCATCTTATAAGTTGTGTGGGGGGCAGAGAACGGAGCCACCCAAATTTTCTTTTTATAATGTTCTTTTTTCAATAATCTCACAGATTATGTTTAGATAGGGGTTAGGTATGGACTATAATGCATTTACACTTGCTTCTTTACATCCTTCAAAATGTAAAAGCTTACTAACACTACCTTTTCTGTTTTTACAGCCTTGTTCAACATCTGGATTCGCACAGATTGTATGCTCTTACTGTACTTTTGCGGCAAGAGAAGGTACACTGTACCTTAGACATTAGCCCAAAGTAGAATACATTTTTAAAGATGTTGTCTTGATTAGTGTATGTCATATACTTATTTCAATTGTGTAGGCTTGATTAGATTTCCCTAATTGGATGTTTCATGTACACTATCTTCTACTTGCTTGAAAAACATGTGCCTACTGCTTTGGAGTCATATATTGTAGATTTTCAGTAGTTTGTTGAATGAGAAATTCATCGAACTTGTATAACTTATTATTTGTTGTTGCATGTTTCATTCTAATTTTCTTCTTTAACCCCTCAACAAGTTTGTAGGCTTGAATTACTTACTTACATTATTTTTAAGTGGATAAACTTCTTGATATTATAAGTTTGATGGATGTCTATTTACTTAGTGAAAGTGATGTCCCTATTATATATTGGTTTAAGGATCCTTGTAACATGATTTTTTTTTAATGTCATTGTTTTTAATTAGAAATTAATTATATACTTCTTTGCAGAAATGGATACTAGTTGGATTGATTTACCAAGAGGTGATCCTGGATATTTTAAAGGTTGCATGAACTTCTTGAAACTTGCTAAAGAGACTCTTTTACCAAATACATGGGAAACTGAATGCCCATGTAATAAGTGCAAGTTAAATAACACGAATTCTGTAGAAGAAGTTGGAGGCCATATTTTATTTTATGGTTTTTATAAAAGCTATAGAAATTGGATATTTCATTGTAAAGATGAAGGGAGTAAGACCTACGATCTAAGTGATGATCAAGTAAATGCAGTAGATCGAGATGATATGGACGGGTTACTTAGAGCAGCTTTTAGAGTTAATACACGACAAACCGACAAAACTCAAGATCCATCATTTAATGAACAAAGTATTAAAGATGACAATTCATATGACATTGATTAGGGCTTTACCATTTATCGCGAGGTAGATGATGAGTATCAATCAACTTTCTCAAATGAAGAACAGGCAAAGTATAAAAATCTCATGGAAGCTTCTGAAAAAGGCATGTACGAGGGGTATACTACTTTTTCGAAACTTTCATTTCTATTGTATTTGTTTCACCTAAAATGTATGTTCCATTGGTCTCAGAGTCATTTAATAAATTACTTGAACTTCTAATTGACGCATTTCCCATTATTAAAGAGTTTCCATCGTCCTATTATGAAGGCATGAAGATAATAAATGATTTAGGGTTAGGATATGAGAAAATCCATGCATGTCCAAATAATTGCATGTTATATTGGGGCGAATTCGCAAATAAAAGTGAGTGTCATATATGCCATACATCAAGGTGGAAAAATGTGAAAGGAAAGGAGGGTGATGTAAATGAAAAAGGAAAAGAAGCATGTAAGAAAGGCGAGGCAGCTAAAGTAATGCGGTACTTTCCCCTTATCCCTAGATTAAAGAGGCTTTACATGTCATCTAAAACTGCAGAGGACATGAGATGGCACTTTAATCGTAAGGATAATAAGATTCTACGACACTCTACTGATGGCGAGGCCTGGAAAAAATTTGATGAAAAATATACAGAGTTAGCCGCTGATCCTCGCAGTGTTAGATTAGGTCTAGTGAGTGATGGTTTTAATGCATATCGTCTTATGAACACAAATTATAGTACATAGCCGGTGGTCCTCATTCCTTATAATTTACCACCATGGCTTTGTATGAAACCATCATCCTTTATTCTTTCTATAATTATTCTTGGTAAATTTGGTCCCGATATGGATATTTATGTGTACTTGCAACCACTAATCCATGAATTGAAATTATTGTGGGAAGGTGTTGATGCTTTTGATTCTTATAGTGGAAGCAAATTCAAACTACGAGCAGCCCTACACTCTACTATTAATGACTTTCCGGCTTATGCTATGCTATCATGTTGGAGTACGAAAGGCTACAAAGCTTGTACTTCTTGCACTCATTCTACTTATTCAAATAGATTTGGTGGCAAAATTATCTACACTGGGTATCGAAAATGGTTGCCTATTGATCACCCATATCGTTCACAGGCTAATTTGTTTGATGGGAAAGAAGAATATGGTATTGCTCTGATTCGTACCAGCGGGACTGAAGTTTTGAAGCAACAAGAAGGGGTAAAGTATGTATATGGGAAGACAAAAAAAGTTCCTTAAAAAAGAGGGAAAAAAAGCTGCCAATGAACTTGATGATGATTGTGATCCCGATGGTGATCATATTCTTTGGAAAAAGAAAAATACATTTTTTGAATTAGAGTATTGAGAGCATAATCCTCTTAGACATAATTTAGATGTTGTGCACATTGAAAAGAATGTGTCCGATATTTTATTAGGAACTCTTTTAGATATGGATAATAGTAGGGATGATGAGAGTGGCAGAGAAGCCCTAAAGAATTTGAATATAAAACCTCATCTATGGATCAACCTTCAAGGTTACATCCCGCCGGCTGCATACACCATGTCTAATGAGGAGAAAGAACGATTTTTGGAAGTCTTGAAAAAGATGAAAGTTCCTGATGGATATAGATCTAATTTGCAAAGATGTGTGAATCTAAAGCAACTGAAACTTATTAATATGAATAGTCACGACCATCATATTCTCATGCAAGATATCCTCCCGGATGCTTTAAGGGCGTCGAATGCCACAAGAGTTATTGACTTGCTTGAGGAGTTGTCTGACTTTTTTAAAAAGATATGTTCAACTGCTATAGATACAAGAGAATTAGATACCATTCAATCAAAGCTCATGTTGACTCTTTGCAAGTTTGAATAAGAATTTTTACCAACATTTTTTACAATCATGGTTCATCTACTAATTCATTTAGTGGAAGAGGTCAGACTAGGCGGACTGGTTCATTATAGATGGATGTATCCTGTTGAAAGGTACTTATTATTACTATTATTACTATTATTACTATTATTATTATTATTATTATTATTTATTTTTATTTAATAATTTTTCTATTCTTTCACATTCACATACAAAATCGTTACTATAATTCAAGGTACTTGGCCTTTTTGAAATCTCATGTAAGCAATAAAGCGCAACCAGAAGGATCTATAGCGGAAGGTTACCTTTTGTGGGAGACAATTGCATTTTGTTCAAGATATTAAGAAAGTGTTGAGACTATGTTCAATAGACCTAGAAGGAATGAGGATGGTGTATCAAACATTGACAACTATTTGTATAACTCTGATGGTCGTGTTGTTGGAAAGAAAGAAAATGTCCGTTTGGATGATAGAAGTTTAAAGCAAGCTCATCGCTATGTTTTACTTCATTCTGATGAACTAACCCCGGTGCTCAAGTAAGTAGCATTATGTGTTTAGTTAAAGCGTCTAATATATACTTGTTACTAACATAAAATTTACAATCTCGATAGTGAGTTCCTAAAACTAAAGAGGCAAGAGAATGTCGTTGGAGGAAGTCAAGCTGATGAATCTATTGAAAATCAGTGGATAATTGATAAATTTTCAGATTGGTTGCAAAGCCAGGTCATATGCTTTTATATTTAGGGTCTTTTTATTTTCATATTATACAACTTTCTAATTCTAACTTTATTATTCTCGAATTATAGGTCCATAATTTAGATGATAGCACGGTAGATGGAAAGTTAAGAAAAGCCTTAGCCGGTGGCTTGACTAACCGCGGGAAAAGGATGAAAAGTGTTATTATCAATGGTTACAAATTTGATATTGTAGATCGTGAGCGATTTCGAGTAACTCAGAATTCAGGAATCATGGTGGAAGCAGAGGGTCACGAATATTATGGAAAACTCAAAGAAATTTTGGAATTAGATTATTATGGTTCTTATAAGGTTGTATTGTTTCGTTGTGATTGGGTCGATATGCGTAGGGGTATCAAAACAAATCCGAATGGAAGTGTTCGTATCAATTTCTCAAAGTTGATGCACACTGGTCGATTTTTGAGTGATGATCCATTTGTTTTCTCATCTCAAGCAAAACAAGTTTTTTATATTGAGGATGAGATACAAAAAGGGTGGTGTCATGTTGTGAAAACTAAGCCTAGGGACTTGTTTGATATACCTGAATAATTTGTTTACAGCTTTTATAATTTATTATAGATTTGAGTTCAGAAATTTGGATGGGTGTGTATTTTTATATTTCATTTAGTTATTCTAATTCATCAAAGTTTGTATTTTGTTAACTTAAATTCTGTTTTTATGGTACTACGTAGTATTATCGTCTTGGTTTCTTATTGGTCGAATAAGAACTTAAATCAGAGCTGAAATACAGAATTTAATTCAGATCTGAATACCAGAACTGAATTCAGAGCCGAAATCAGAACTGAAATCCAGAATTGAATTCAGAAGTGAATGCAGAGCTGATCTTCAGAACTGAAAATCAGTTCTGGAATTCAGTTCTGAATTGCAGCTCTGAACATCAGAACTTGTGTGTGTGTGATTATATTTCAGAGCTTGTGTGTGTGTGAGTCATCAGATTTTGTCTTTTTGATCAAATTTATTCTTGTTATTTCAACTATGATGCATTGATTTTTGTTGTTCTTATTTTGTATTTTAGTTTAGATGTTTAGTTTAGCTGTACATATAGTGTCTTGTCTTTATATCAGTTTTGTCTTTATATATTGTCTTTACTTTCCACTGAAATTGTGATTACATCAGTTCAGAACTGTAATTGAACTAAGTGCTGTTTGTAATGAACCCACTGTAATTGTGATATTGTGATTATAGTTCAGAACTATACAGTTTAGATATATAGTTTAGATCTGTATATCAGTTTATTTTGTATTTTAGTTTAGATGTATAGTTTGTATTTCAGATTATGTCTTGTCTTTATATCAGTTTTGACATACTAATGTATTATGGTTTTATCAGGTAAAAGATGACTTATCAAAGCAAGAGAGCAAGGGAAATACTTGCTGCCACAGCTAAGTCAAATGCTACTGAAGTTGTTTCACAACCCACCAAAAAACAATCTACTAAGTCACCACAGACTGAGGTACTTAAGGATGACAACTGGGGACCTTTTTCTCCACCCATTACCACTACAAAATCTGACCAACAACCACCCAATAGTTTAGGATCCATTTGGAAAAACCCTCCTGGTTCAACATCGAGTTCAGTCAAAGAGGCAACTACATCAGGTTATCATAATAAATACCCAGCAAAAGTCCCACCTAATATCCCACCTAATATCCCACCTAATATTCCACAATCAAATAGACCAAACTCATCATTGAACTCCCTTTCTAATTCTCATAAACCTTCCGAGCAAGCTGTGAGACGAGGAATTCAGAACTTGAGACTAGTGTTGTTAAAACTTCAGCAATAGCTCCACAGAATAATCAAGAACGACAAAACGGTGGGAAAGAATCAGAGAAGATCCCGAAACAATCTAAGTCTTTACGACCAAAAGCACTTCCGGATTAGCCTGTAGATATAGATTTTGACGACAAGGAGGAGGTTCTAACCATAGGTAAATATTTTTATTAAAGTTTTCTGCTGCTTGTTGTTGTTGTGGTGTGTTTCTGCCATGTTGCTTCTGCTTGTTGTTGTTGGGGGGGGGGGGTGTGAAATTCTGAAATTCTGAACTAAAGAATTTCTGAACCTTTAATTGTATTTTTCTTGTATTTATGATTTGATAATTAGGTTCCTAATTACAGTTGGTAGTCTTGTATTGTTGCTTGCAGCTAAGTAGGACCATTAGAACTAGATAGTAATACCATTTGAAACTGTTAAGACTTAAGAGGCAAAATCAGGAGAAACAGCAGATAAGTGCAGATGTAATTTGATTATATAAACTGTAACACTCTAGTGGGTATTTACTTGTAATAAAATAAGTTAAAGCAATAAAGATTCAATCTTGGGGAGAATTGGAAGCTTTTTGATTAATTAGAAAATGGAGTAACAAGCACAAGGGTAGCTTTAGGCTACTAATCTCTGGTTTAGCACCTTTAGGGCACCACTCTCTAGCTCTAAGTATTACAATGATCTTGCCTAACTAGCACATCCTACCCTCCCTTTCTTATATACACATAATCTGCCAAAAGAAAGAAAACAACAAAAGTTGTTGCTGCAGCTGTCAAAGCCCCTCACGGATTGGAGGCTGCCCTGCTAGGTAATTGCCCTGCTGTCCCTTTCCTGACATTCCAATCTGCTGACCTCTCCTCCTCCTTCTTGCATAAGTAATCAGCCCATTGCCCTTGTTGAGTAATGCATTCGTTACATAAACTTGCCAAAATATTAGATTGCCTTTATCCTAGAAGAAACTTTCTTGACATGTTATAAAAATTACTAGAAACTGAAAAACAGAATACAGTTTTAGTGAGGTACTATGATCTTATTATTCGCATGAAGACCTAAGACCACACTCAGTTATCATAACTTCATGAGGAACAAAGCAATCTTTCTGAAGAAAACATGCACAAAAACTCGAAACTCCACTAACCAGATTCTATACCTTTTTTTTTTTAACCTCATTGGAACTTCTGATTTATATGGCATTTCACCTTGCTTTCAGAGATGTGGTCAATTTCTGTGTTTCAATAATATATCTTTATAAGTTTAATTTTATTGTTTGCTTTCAGGTGCAAAAGTTATTTTAAGATGTTTGGAAGGGTTGCCTTACAAATTACTAGCTCTGAAATTTCTAGAATGTTCAATAGTCTTTTTCGATTTGGTTTGAGGTATAACTGATAATATTACTTGCTGCTTGCCACTTAATTTGTTTGCTAATCCACTTAAACTGATTATTTCTTTTAACTTAATTTTGTTATTTTATTTAGATGCCAAGGGTAATACTACATTAGTAAGTGGTATTATTCTTCCAATTGATGTATGGAGTAATAACGGCGTCCAGTACTATGTCGAATTCAATGATTTATGCCAGCCAATTAGGAAGCGTGGACATAATTTGGTTAAATTCATTAGTATGATTGCGAAGATGGAGTCACATTGTCCAGTTGGGGAAAAAGATTGGAAATAAATCGATAGGCATTTTAAAGGGAAAATAATTAAAGACATAAGAGTAAGTATATTCATCCCTAAGACATCCCCTTGTCATTGCCTAAACACACATACTTAGCCGGTCTCTTACTTCTAATAGATTACTTACTGATTTATATTTTTAACTAATTATTTTTACTGAAGGACCGTTTTGTGATTCCTCCTGGTCTGGAATATGACAACCAAGCTCTCAAGCGTGCCAATAAATGTTGGAGGTAGTTCAAATACTCTCTGAAACTGCTTTATTACAAGCCACTAGAGAAGAAATTGGATGATATTTGTAATAATGTGCCACATGGAATTACCAGTAGTAACTGGGTTAAGTTGGTAAAATATTAGGATTCAGATTACGGGAAAGTAAGGACAATATTCACCTTATTGTTTACTCTATTAAATGTTATTTAATCTCTAACTAAAAAATCTGAAAATGTGATTGCAGACTATGTCAGAATGCGGTAAAAAGGTACGAGCTTCTCAAAATCAGATTCATACATCTGGCTCTAAAAGTTTTGCAAACCAACAAGCTGATTATGTGTGGAATATATATGTCATTTTATATTTACTTAGGATGTTAGTAAGAGCAAAGCCAAGTTATATGCGTTATATACTATTGTACACATATTTAATGCTTGTTTTGCCTTATTATTTATAGGAAGATGAACATGGACAAAAAATGAGCTTGTTAGCGCTGTGGATTAAAACCCATACGGGTAAAGAAGGAAAATTTCTTTCTGACACAGTCACTCAAGATTTTGTGGTATGGTTTTGTGACAGATTTCTCGTATCATTTTGTGTAGATTTTGTGGTGTGATTTTGTGTTATTTGTGGTCTTACATTACTCCTAAATGTTGGTATAGGATGATGTTAAAGCTAAGGTTGAAGAGTTGAGGATGGTGCACCCTAAGATGTCTGAACAAGAGCTCAAAGATGAAGCATTTCAGCAAACTATGTATGGCGGAGATTCCCGATCGTCCGGTGGGTTACAGACTAGGGGTTAAAAAGGGGGACATTTTCGGAGTACGTGGTGTGTTAAGGAAGGAAGGCTATGGAAAAGTTAAAAAGAGGACTATTGTGATGGATAGTGTTAAAGAAGAAGTGAATGCTTTGCACAAATTGAATATTTTGTTTGCATGCCTTTGAGATCACATGAATCACTTTTCACTATAAGAATCGAGTAGAGGCCAATATGGGCGAATGTAACTCCATGAATCACTTCGTACCATCATCCTCGATCCTCCTTTAGTGGTTCCGAACCATATGGAGTTAGTAATCTCATGGATTATGAATGGGGTGTAACCTTCACGGGTCAATCGTTGTTGCCTATCGTTGTCCCTTTATTCGTGGTTGCCTTTTATGATCCGTGAACGGTTTAAAAGTTCCTTAAAAACTTGTTGGCGTCTCCCTACTTTCCTTGTCCCTAATCGTATAATGTAAATTCCCACTTTCTATGAGTAACAAGCATATTCACATCATGCTTTTACGTAGGCGCACTTCGAGCGACGCCTACAGTCACAGAGGACAATACTTGGACCTTATACTTCGATGGAGCCTCAAACCAAAAGGGATGTGGCGTTGGAGTATTACTAGTATCACCTAAAGAAGAGCATGTTCCAATCTCCATAAATCTTGATTTTGACGTTACCAACAACGCTGCTGAATACGAAGTATGCGTGTTAGGCCTTGAAACAGCTTTGGCACTAGGAGTGAAGAAATTACGAATATTCGAAGACTCTTCATTGATCATCAATCAAATCTCTAAGATATACGAATATTCGAAGACTAGCCTCAATGGTTAGGATTCCTACGAAAATCGAGCAAATGCCTCTAACTATAGAAAAAAAGGCATAAACTAGCTTACATGAAGAAGAAGAAGAAGAAGAAGAAGAAGAAGAAGAAGAAGAAGAAGAAGAAGAAGAAGAAGAAGAAGAAGAAGAAGAAGAAGAAGAAGAAGAAGAAGAAGAAGAAGAAGAAGAAGAAGAAGAAGACGAAGACGAAGACGAAGAAGAAGAAGAAGACGAAGACGAAGAAGAAGAAGAAGACGAAGACGAAGAAGAAGAAGAAGAAGAAGAAGAAGAAGAAGCATCTGAATTCTTAGGAAAGGCATGAAATCTAGAATTTCCAGAATTTGAATTCATAACTAAAATGAAAACTGAATCAAGAAATAAATCCAGAACTGAAATCAGAATTGAATTCAGAATTGAATCCCCTGCTGCTTGCTGCTTGCTCCCCTAATTTGCTCCCCTGATGCTTGCTGTACTGCTCCCCTGCTGCTTGTTGTCCTGCTCCCCTGCCTAAGCTGGATGCGTGAGATTTCTACGACTTATCTTCCATTTTTTACTGCTATATTTGAGCCTAAAACCATGATATAAAGCATGATGGACAGGATAAACAACTTAGAGAAAAGTAATCTATTGTAGAAGTTAAAGTAGAAACTCAAAATATTAATCAATACTCGTTAACTCGTAGAATTCAGTTCATAAAAGGTAGTAAGCTAGAATTTTAGATCTGCCTTTGCAGACCAAGCTTTAATATAATTCTCTGCTTTGGTGCTTGTCAAAAAAAAAAAGCTATAATTTTAGATACCTAAAGCTTACAGGATCACCTGAGTGAGATGATAGCATGGATTAGTTTTCCTCTGATTTGAGGCTATGATTTAAAGTAGGAACCTGCTGTGACTAACATAAAGGAAGAACTGCAAGAAATAATGCAATATAGCTACATAGGGTAATGATAATGATAACTTGTCATAGTGGCTCCCCATTTTTGGGTTAGAGGCTACAATTTAGGGAAATAGTTCAATTCTATATGAATGGGCCGGGGGTGCTTAGTTACGGCTAATTATTCAGTGATTTAAAGGGGGAAGGGTGTTTCATAATGGGAGTGTTAGTTGATTAATGATTCAATTTTTGTATAATAAAATCTGTTGAATCGGTAATGAAAGATTAAAATAGACTTATTAGGAAGTTGCTGTAATTATCAACTATAGAATATTGAAGAGTTATGACGATACATGGACATCAAAGTGATCTGACAATTTTGAAATGATATAATCATTTTTATCTTTTGCAATGAGACGTCATTTACTTATTTGTGAACCTCTTCCCAGTAGCACCTGCACATGTTGTAATTTTCCTCTAAAATCTTACACAACACCCACCTGCACAATAAGTGCCAAACAAAAGACGCGCACAAGGCATAGGCTATTGATAGTAGATGAATTCTATTTTATGGTTCAATGATGTTACTAACTGCTCTTATGCTAGATTCTCTATCAGCTGTTTAATGGTCTTTTTCAACTTCATTTGGTGTAAAGATTGTGTGTGTGTGTGTGTGTGTGTGTATGTGTGTGTGCACGCGCGCGTGCTGCAATGGCTATATAATCAGTTAGTTTGGAATTGCTTTAAATGCATAATGATACTACACTCTTGGCAAGGTTCAGTTTTGAATTCATCATAAAACTATTCCCATTATTAGACAAACTCTCTTAAGCTTTCTAATGGACAGCAAGAAAGCTTAAAAATTTATAGGCCTACTTTACAGATTTATATATGTGCATTGTACATAATTAATTGCCTAGATTAAAGTATAATGTCCGTGTTATTGTCTCAAATCGATTATTAAGCTTGAGCCTATATTGTGTAATGTACTAATTTATAATTTGTATTTTTTTTTTGAAGATTGGAAAAGGAAATGTAGGTACAACAAGAGAATAGGCCGGGACACTTGAGCATCAAAACAAGTGACTATATTTTCTATAAGGCCATCATATATGTATTTTGGTTTTTAGTCTTATATTTAGTAATGTATTTATTTAGGGACAAGCTACTATAATATGCGACGTTTTTTTTTTTAATTTGTTTTTAATTGTGTTGATGTTTTCTTTATATAAATTTGGTAATTAACTACGTACTCTTATTATTGTTGATTAATAATTGTTTTTTTTTTAAATCTAGTTATATACAATATTTGTTTATTTTAATTTTTATGTTATTAATTTAATTTATGATAAATTTTAATAACTATAATATATGTATGATGATGGTAATAATTTAATAAAAGTAAAAAAAAAAGCTTAAAAAAATTCTAGATGCTTTTTAATGTCTACATATTTTGCACATTTTCATATTTCAAGAGTTTCCCGCCATACCATAGGTTGACACGAATAAACGCAAGACAACAAAAAGCGTCGCTAAATTTTATTATGTGGACATGTAAAAGCGTCGCTAAAAAACTACGCACATTTGGGATAATGCGCGAAATACATAATTTTCGACACTTCGTATATTAGTCGGGACAAAAAAAAGCGTCGAGAATCTCGACGCTTTTTTGTGTCCCTCGAAATTCTCGACTCACGTATTTTCGACGCTTTTTTGCAGCGTCGAGAAATATATTTTCGACGCTTTTTAGCGTTGAAAACAGGCTTAAAAAGCTTCCAAAAAACACGCTTTTTGTAGTAGTGAATTATTCCTGCGATGCTTCCCTTTCTCTTTCTAATATTTATGTTAGTATCATGTTAGGGTTAAAGCTTTGATTTTTATTGTTTAGTGACATGCTAGGGTTTGTTATTAATCTTAGTTTGTTAGTATCATGCCTAGGATCTTGCTATTATTATGCCTTAACATGATTATGATGATTATTATGATTGTTATTTTATTATTATTATGTTGCTTGATATTTATTATTACTGCTTGATCACATCTTTTATGCATGTTTAAAGGGAATTGGTACTTGTAATCACGCTTATATAAGTTAATTAATAATCTTGTTTAGGTTAATAGATGGGCTTACTATATTATACAGTGGATTCATTACATCCCGCCTGAAGGAGATACCCGACTTCTTTGGCTTTCGTTTAGCCAACTAGTGAATGCCTGAGAAGGGGGGCTCTCGTGCTTCACTGGATAAAAGCACCAGTCTACCGCTTTCAATACAGCGAGACTTCGCCGATTGAGAATATACTTTGAATAGATAGTAAGAAGAAGGCATTTTGACTCTCTTTCTAGTGGGCTTGGAAGGAAGCAGAATATCCTTCGGTTTACCATATGGTTAGTGGGCGGTATAGGTAAAGTTCCAGGGTATAGGAATCCTCTTAAACAGAAGAAAAGTCCCTTTCATGGGTAGTAAGCCATTAAAGGAGGGGAAATGGGTATAGAACTAGAATCGATAGGATCAAAGGACTTTTTTCCCCACGATGGGAGAGAGGAAGCTTCTGGACCACCTTTTTCAGCCAGATAGCGAGCAATCACTTAGCAATGAACACTAACTGAAAGCGGCCGAGAATGAGTACCTATCCCTTACGGGAATCGAACCCGTGTCTTCGACATGAAAAGACGATGTCCTAACCACTGAACGAAAGGGACCAAAAAGCCATTCTTCATATACCTCAGCTCCGAGAATAGAAGTGGTTCGTTTTGTTTCTATACGCAATTAAAGATTTCGTTTGTGTTCATGTTGGCGATTTCTGATGTGAATTCGGCCTCACGTAGCTCGCCTTCCTACGGGTTCCCTTGCCGATCTAGTGACACACCAACCACGCCCCTTCCCTTTCTCCGATCATAAAGCTGATTACAATTTAAGTGATCGCCAATAATAAATTTGTTTGTAATTACTCTGCTTCTTCGTCATTACTCTGCAAAGAGTCAGCCATGGCAGGAACAAATTCTATGGAGCTGTAATATTTTGATGAATGCAATTATGCAATGACAAACATCCTTTTGTGCTAATTTTGCCAATCAATTATACCACTTCCAACATATAAAAGAAACTTGTTTAAATTCATTTTCATTAATAGACTAACAGGTCAACATAGTACATGAAATTGAACAATTACGCAAAACGCATCCCCAATTTCGAAATTCATTTTATCCAATTGGTTATGAACCCTAATTTTCGATTACTTTAATTAATTGTTCAAACTTTAAAAAATAAAGAAATTCGTATAAATTCTTGCTTGAATTGCGTTTTCCCTTTATATTTGATGCAATTTTGATGGAGCTTCAATTGGTATTGGCAGAAAGGAAAAATCCCAATTCCTTGCGAAATAGAAGCAGCGAAATAATAGAAGCAAAGGAGTAAGGGAAGTGAATGGAGGGAAAAGGGGGAAATGACGGAGCTTCAATTGGAATTGGCTCAAAGGAGAAGACCCAATTGCTGTAGAATTGAAGCAGAGTAATGACGAAGAAGGAGAGTGGAATGGAAGGAGAAGGGGAAAAAAATAAAGGAAAATGTGGGTTTAGTGGGTCATGTGACTTGTCCATACAAGTTAACGCCGGAAAGATGAGTCAATGGTCGGAATTCGGGTAGGGATGGGACTTAACAAAAAAAAAAATTAAAACACATATGTTTTAGCAAAAAAAATAAAATTATAAGATGGTTTTCAACAAAATTTGGTTTTTATAAGATGATTTTCAACAAATTTTTCTAAAATATATAATTAAAGTATTTGAAAATTTTATTTTTTGTTTTAAAAATCATTTTCGAAAATTAAATTATAATTATAATTTAGAAAATCAAAAGGCCATCATCGTTCTTCATTGTTATTTGTCCTTCATTCATAATCTTAATTACACAAAGTTTCATAAGTGACTGGCCACACCGTACGGCCAGTCATAATTAATTTTATTTTATTTTTATTCTTTTGTCTCTTTTATTTTATTTTTATTCTTTTGCGCAATTTCTATGTTACTCCCGCAGTACCGTCAGCATGGCACTCCGGGTTCTCAAACGACGGCGTTTTTGCAGCTGGGGCGTTAAGTATATAATCAACCTGCTCTTTCTCCATTATCACTCCTTCCCAATTTTCTCCCTTCTTGATATACTTTTTTTCCTCTATTTTTTCAATTGCAAATTTTTCTCTCCGATTTTTCTCTCAAATCAATCACTCTTTTTCCTCTTTTCATCAATTACTTTTCTTAATTGAATATGATTTTGCGAAATTTGCTAGGTATTGAGGCCGATGATGCTCGTTGTACTGAATTTGCTCTTGTTGATTTTGATGCGGAAATCATTGTTGAGCAAGCGGACGACCATGAATTTGATTCATCATCAGCAGGTGAAGCTTTTTAATTTTATTCAAATCAAATGATCGTGATTTTCATGAATTGGATGTTATCTTTTTAAATTATATGTTAATTTTGTAAGATATTGATGTTATTCTCTTTTTTCAGTAACGTTAAATTAAAGTTATTTTTAATGAAGTATATGTTATTCTAAAATTGTAGATTGCATGAATTGGATGATATTTTGTAGATAACTTACGTTATTTTTTTTTTTAAAGAAATTGATGTTATTCTCTTTTTTCAATTAATAATTAAATGTTACTTTTAATGAAGTATATGTTATTCTTAAATTTTAAATTGCATGAACTAGATGTTATTTTGTAAATAACGTATGTCATTTTTTAAGAAATTGATGTTATTCTCTTATTTTTAGTAATGCAGATTAATTAACAAACAAATGTTATTTTAATGAAGTATATATGTTATTCTAAAAGAAGTTTTTGTTATTTTGCATATTTGATGATTCTTTCAGTTGGTCAACACGTTTACTCAGAAGCAGATACATCTGAATTGCTTGATGCTGAAGTCAAGGATGCTGATGAAGCATATAATCTGTATAACAATTATGCTTATAGGTTTGGATTTAGTATTCGGAAAGGGAAGACAAGGCCTCGAAATGATGGGACTGTATGTGCAAGGGAGTTTGTTTGTTCAAAAGAAGGGTTTAAAAAACAAAGTCTTCCAAAGCGATATACTAAGACAGATTTTAGGACTGGATGCAAAGCTCATGTACTGTTTGCTGTTGATAAGTCAGGTGTCCATCGTTGTAAAAGACATGTTATGGACCACAACCACAAATTGGTTGATGTTGATAAAAGACATTGGTTAAGATCTCAAAGAAATGTAAGTAAGGATCAATTGGATATGTTCACTTCCTGGAAAGACAATGGTATGGGTGTAAGTGATGCATATCGATTTGTTAGGAAAGAGAGTGGTGGTTTTCAATCAGTTGGTTGTGTTATTAAAGATGTTTATAATGCAGTAGGAAAGGAAAAGAGAAAGAAGATTAAAGGTTGTGACACTAAGCAGTTGTTAAAGATGTTTGCTGAGAGGCAAACTAAGGAGACTGACTTCTACTATGATTTGGAGCTTGATGAGAAAGGGCACATCATTAGTTTCTTTTGGAGAGATGGGATTATGAAACGAGATTATGAAACATTTTCAGATTTGCTAGTGTTTGATACAACTTATCGAACCAATAAATATGCCATGATTTGTGCTCCGTTTGTGGGAATGAACCACCACAATAAAAATGTCATGTTTGGAGTTGGGTTTCTTTTGAATGAAAAGCATGATTCTTTCATTTGGTTGTACAATACATTTCTAAGATCTATGGGACAAATTCAACCTATAAATATCATGACGGATCAATGTCAATCAATGGCCAAAGCTATTTCTGTTGCTTTCCCTAATTCTTGTCATCGTCTTTGTACTTGGCATATTGGTAAAAATGCAACAAAGAATATTCCTCACTTAAAAGCTTTGAAAGGATTTAACAGTATCTTCAATTATGTCTTGAAGTATACTAATATAGAAGCAGAGTTTGAGCATTACTGGGCAAGGTAATTATATTTAGTATTATTTAGTTCATGTTATTCTGATTAGTGTTTCATATTATTTTATTTTTAGAATATGTTAGCTCGTGTATAATTACATGTTATTTTATGTGGGCAAGTTATTTTTAATGCATGAATATATCATGTTATGTTGAATCTTTTTAATGTTATTTATTTTAAAGTTTCATGTTATTTTATTTTATACGAATTATAATATTACTGCACTTATGGCTTTATCTTGTGATGTAGGAAAATTTATGTTATTATGTAGAAAACTTTATGTTACATGAGGTTTATATGTTGTGTTATTCTCATTTTTCAGAATGATGGAGAAGTATAAGTGTTGGAATAGTAAATGGCTTCAAGGGATATATGATTTGAAAAAAAAGTGGTGTCCAGCTTATTCCAAAGAGTACTTTTCAGGTGGTATTTTATCCTCTCAAAGGAGTGAAACAACTAATAAGTCAGTTTCACACAGGTTATCAAAAACAGATGGTTTATGTGATTTTTATAGGCATTTTAATGATGTTGTTGATGAGTGGAGGAACGATGAAAATGGGGATGATTTTGAAACTTCAAATGGTAATCGATATCTTGCATTTGCTGAGGTTAGATTGCTCTTGCATGCTAAGGAGATATATACAAGGGAAATTGGTTTGTTGTTTGAGGAAAATTACATAACTACAAATGCATATAAACAGAATATTTTGGATATTAGAGATTCTGTCTTCATTTATCATGTTTGGCGTGAAGCCAAAGATCATATTATGCATGTTGTTACCTTCAATTGTAAGGAGGTTAAAGTTGATTGCACTTGCAAGGGGTATAGTGAGTCGGGTATATTGTGTGTTCATTCGTTGAGGATCTTTCTTATTCATTGTATCGAAAAAATTCCTGATTGGTATGTGTTTCCTTGATGGACCAAATCGGCTATGGAAACTAATGGAGGAAAGGAAAAGGTGACGAATGATCCTAAATTTGTTCCCTCGTGTGTATGGAGAAATTTTATTATTAGGAACTTGGTCCAATTGGTGAATTCTAGTCAAAATGACTTGTGTACTAGGAAAGTTATTGACTTGTGTTATGAGAACATGAAGAAGGAAATTGAGGATTTATTAGCAACTTCAAAACAATCTGGGGAGCAAGAAGCTGAAAATAATTCTGGTAGTTTACCCAATGAAAATGCTAATTTGTCAACTTCATGTAGTGATCAACTGCTTCTTCCTACTACATATGATAATGTGAAAGATCCTACAACAAGAAGGGAGAAGTATGTGAGAAATGATAGACCAAAGAGTTTTGTGGAGAAAAAATGTAGTCAAATCAGGTCATGGAAGTATAAACAAGTTGCATATATCGAATATACAAAGGATAAAGCTCAACTTTCTATCCAGGTACTTTTTTATAAGTCCTTTTATGATGTTCAAATGTTATTTCATGTGTTTATTATGTTACTTGATTTTATAGTTATGTTATTTTATTTTTGATTTTATAGTTATGTTATTTTATTTAGTAAGCTATGTTATTTTTAACGAGTTTAATGTTATTTACTAAAGTTTATATGTTATTTAATTTTGCATAATTAATTTTTTAACTTCTTACTCTTTTTTGTAGAGTCAATATGATCTTCCACCTGGTGGTATGATATGTCATCCAAGAAATCACAATCAAGGATTGGAAGTTTATGTGCCTGATAATTACTTTAATGTTAGCTTCCTTCCTCCCGAGATTCTTTAAGGCAGACTCTTTGGAATACATTGTTGGAGACTATAATTAGATTTTTGAGGCTACAATTAGAAATACATTCTCAACTATTGAATTACAATTTTTTTATTGATTTGATACATAGAATACATTTAAAATTTTAGTTGAATAGTTATATGGTTTATTTTTTGTCAATGTATTTCTTTCATTAACTTGAAAACATAATAAGAAATATTTTTTAGTAAATAGAATCTTGATTTTATGCATTTTTATGTTTGTAACATAATCTATGAGAATCCCAAAATAATACTCTATACAATAAAAATTTAAGGTATGCAACAGTTAACAAATTAATGAAAATAACACTCAATATAAAGGAAATAATATTCAATATGTAAGTAACATGTGTATCGTGTAAGTCAACACTTGTAGTTTTATGAATTCAATTTACATATCATTTTTCAACTATAAGAAATATTGGATATATGTAAGCTATTGTTTTGGTTTTGAAACATTCAAATTATATGTAAGCTACTATCATTTGATCATCTTTTTTCTTCAGCTTTCTCCTTTGATCACCCAAAACAACTATCATTTCTATCATTTGATCATCTTTTTTCTTCAACTTTCTCCTTTGAATGTACCCTTGCATATTTCAAGACTTGGTTATGAAGTGTATTTTCCTTATGCAATAGAATCTTTGCACAATATTTTACGCGAAGCTTTTTAAGCTGCTTGAGCTGCACTTCCTGAAAAATAAAAAACACAAAATCTATTAGAAAAATAAAATAAAAAAAGGATTGATGAAAATAACATGAGTTGTACTTACATATTTAGTTTGTAATCCGCAATCCCATTCTGTGTCCTTCTCTCCATTATACGTCTCCATATGCTTCATTAAAAAAATTCCACAATCATCATAGTTTTTGTTGCTTCTCCATTTCATGTTTAATGTTTTTGTTGATTTTTTCTCCAAATTGTCTGCTTTTGCTTGGTCATATCCTATATTCCGAAGGAATTTGGTGAACATTCTCAACTGCATTCAAATCAGCAATACATCAGCATATATATGTAAATCAATGCATTTAACATAGGAGTACATCAATGAATTTACCAGTTGTTTTCGGTGGTTATCATATTTGTTCTTGAAGGATATTCCTTCTTCCAAAATTCTATTATCCAGTAATTCAAAAGCTGATTTTTGCATGTCAATGCAAAGAAGATAATAATGATCACCTCTAACTACAGGGAAGAAAACCTGAAAAAAAAAACAATAATATATATATATATATATATATATATATATATATATATATTAATATAATATCAAGTCATATCAAAATAATATTAGTATAATGATAATAAGTTACCATGCTTAATTTTTTTATCTTGCAAAGTAAATCAGTATCATCTGTGTTACTTTGATCGATCAACTCATTTTGTAATCTATCCAAAAAAGCATCAATTTCCTTTTGCTTCTCAGTGTATGCATTTCCAAATAATATAACCTACAACAATAATATATATATCAAAATAATATCAAGTCATATCAGAATAATATCAAGTCATGTCAGAATAATATCAAGTCATATCAGAGTAATATAAAAATATTAAATTAAATTTTGTACTTACAAATGGATATGTGGAGAAGAAAAATCTTCCTGGTGCTGTATCTTTTCTTGACAAGTTCTCAAAATTCATAATGTATGACCAAGCATCAATAATGTTGCTCACTATGTGAGTGTCACCAGACATAGTCAACATTTCTTTCCTTGTAATTGTTGTCTTATAGTCTTTATAGATTTCCTTTCTTTTGTTTCAAATTAATAGACATGAAATACATAATTATTGTTAGTAAGAATAACATTAACTCAATTCCAAACTACAACTATTTTACCATAAAAAAAAAACAAGAACTCATAAAAAGTATAACTTACTCCATTGGAAGTTCATTAAAAAATGCATAATCGACAACCATCTTCCTTTTGTGGGGTATGCTCTTGAAGGTGTCACTGTTTTTTGCCAAGATTGGTGACCTATATGAAGCTGGAAGTTTAAGTACAAGCCTTTTGGCTCTCCTTTCTCCACGAATGATTTCCTTACCTTTCCCTTTACCACAATCTGCTACAATATTAGACTAATATAAGACATAACATAAGATAATTTCAGAATAACACAAATAAGTCATATAATAATATAGAGACATATCAGAATAATATAAAATCATATCAAAATAATATCAAGTCACATCAAAATAATGTTAAGTCATATTAGAGTAATTTAAAGTCATATCAGAGTAATAGTAAGTCATTTTATACTATACTATTACATAGCTAGATTTATAAATTATCCTTACATGATTTTAGAGTCTAGAACATATATAGTTAAGCTATTTTATAAATTACATAATTAACATATGTCAACTTCAATTGTTACCCTTTTCTTCATTTGATCCCGGGAAGATTTGATGAATTGATTCCAGAACTGGTGTTTCCATTAAGCTTGAAATATCCACTTTCTCATGAGATTTTGCCCTCTCTGGTGTAGCTGTAGTAGCCACTTTCTCAAGAGGTTTTTCAGTTTGAACAACATCTTTTGCAGCAGTTTTGGTTTCAGTTTGAACAACATCTTTTGCAGCAATTTCGGTTTCAGTTTGTTCATCTGGTGCTGCAATTTCATTTTCAGTAAGAACTTGTGCTGCAATTTCAGCAACATTTGTGACACTAGTTCCAATGTTGAGATCCAAATCCAAACTTACATCACCAGCATTACTAGGTGTTTGAGACTGACTCAGATGAAGACTAAACGAAGGAGGAGATATTGATTTTTTCCTTTTATTATGAGGATTTTTGAAGTTCTCTAAAGCCTCCTTCTCAAATCTTTTAACTTCTGCTATAAAGCTCTCTGTTTTGAACGGATAAGTGGTTTGACTGAGTATGGAAGGCTCTCGAACATCTGGAGATTGTGACACTTGTTGTTTCACTACTCTATTTTTCTCCAATAGTTTTGCAGCCATAGCAGCCATGTCATTGGCTAAGTTGCTGTCAGATAGCAATTTTCTTGCTTCTCCAATCATTTCATTCAAATCATCAAAGTTTCCGGCAAGTACTTTTGCCAGATTACTAAACCTCTCCAAGAACACCTTAAATACAAAAACATGATATTTTATAAGCATTGATATTCCAAGTTAAAAAAAAAAAATATTCACATGCTTCAATTTATAAAATAACATTTATTAGTTCTAAAACAATATTTCTACTAATAAAAATAGTATGCTTTTATTGTAAACTAATATGTTCAATGACAATAATAACATGTTTAGTAACTGAAATAACATATACCTTCAACAAAGTTAATGGACTTGAACTACTTGCTGCTTCAGTTTCTTTTTCTCCAACTGTCTTGTCTTCTTCTATCAATCATAGAATTTCTCCCTTTCCAAACCCATGTTTTTCTTCAATTGCTATTCGATTCTTGATTCTTTCTTCATTCTAAACAGAAATCAAAGGAATTCTTCTTGGCTCTTCTTTCAATTGCCTTTTAACTCTATCAAAATAGCATATCTGAAACAATAAACAATGTACGAGTATAAAGAATATTATGGGGTAACACTAGTTTTAAATAAAATAACATAAGGTATGCTTAAAAATATCATAAATATAAAACAGAGTAACATAATTAATATCACAAGTTTAAAACAAAATTATAAAATAACACAAGAAAATCTTAAAATAACATAAACAATGCTTAAAATAACATTATTTTATTCCTAAAGTTAAATTTTACCTGTAGGAATGGAAATGGTCCTGTGAAGTATCCATCCTTTTTTGCTTTCCATTCTTGAGTTGCACTGATCAAACTAGTCAAAACAAACGTGTTCCAGTTCAAGTTTTTGACATTCTTTAAATCCATGCACTTATAAAGGAACTTATACCTCACTAAGTTGTTTTGGTTTGATCTTATGCAAGTGTTGACCAATGCACAAATAAAGCTCATTCTCCACATATCACTTAGAGGGGCTTCAATCAACCTTATATTCAGCCTTTTGTTCATAGGGCTGCTTTCATGTGTTCCACAAAAACTCCTCCAATTCTTAAGAAACAAACTCCATTCATCTCTTTTTTCAACTTCAAATTCAGTTTCATTTTCAATAATATCTTCCAGATTAGGCTTCATAGGAAATCCATACACCCTATTAACATCCTCTAAACATATCTTCAACACCTCATTATGTTGAAGAAAGATTTTGCAACCATCAGGATCAAAGCTGTTCACCAAGTTTGCCCCAAATGAGGTGTTGTGCAAAGGTAAACTAAGATCCAAAAACTGACTAAATCCCATGTCCTTTATAGCATTTGCCTTGCCTTCTTTATCGGTTAAGAAAATCTTTTTTTTGGTTCTTTCTATAACCATCTCAACTTTTTAACTCCTTCTCTTCTTTTCTTCTTCATCCTCTTCTTCAACAAACTCCTTATTCCCCTTTATCATATCTAAAACAGTCATGAATTGAACAGGAGGAACTTTGATCCTAAGACATGTACCTAACTCTCGCTTGATTTTCACACCTTCATCCTCCTCACTTTCACCATCATTTACCTCTACAACTTCATTTATTTTCCCTTTCTTCTCTTTAGGCTCCATTATCGCTTTCCGTTTTGTACATTCTGTTTTGATAGGGGTTTCTTTGGTAACAATTTCTGTACAATTCTGCTTATTTACTAAAGCCATTTTTCTAGACACGCTTCCTTTCTTTCTTGCTACTTGTTTTACCCTCTTTTTCTTAGGCAGCTCTTGCTCATTCTCAACACTGAAATAATACAAACATTATAAGTAAAAAGATAAAGAAAAAACATGAGTATAAAACTGAATAACATATTATATGATGAAAATAACATAATATATGATAAAAAAAATAACACTAGTTTAAACAACTACATCATTGACTGAGTAGGATATGTGTAGCCAAAGCTATATACTAGCATATGTGAATAATTTGCTAAAAACCCTCCCATCATATATGATTGAAAGAGCAAAACTAAAATTATACTTAAAAATCTAAATAGCATTGATTATTAATAATTGAAATCAAAAGGATGATTGTGATCCACCACTTGTCTATTCTACTATATAATACTACTCCCTAGTTGCATCCTGCTATAGTTGATTTCAACAATTAATTATGCATGTTTAGTTGTTGCATCGGATCAATCAATATTATTAATAGAATGCCAATTACTTGCACATCATACCAAACCCATAAACAAGAACATAATTAACGAGTTTTAAGGGGCTAAGCTTGGTACAGAGAGGCTAACAATTCTATCCCTCATTCTTTTTCATCTCTAAATAACAATTCTACAAATCTAAATAATATCATCTACAAATAACAATTCTAGAAATCTAAATAATATCATCTTCAAATAACATATTCATGAGAACAATTAATCATCATCTCAACTACTGGGCAACCAATGCCGCTAACTATTGAGTAATAAAATAAGAAAATGGCCAACAATATGCACAAAGATCAACTCAAAACCTTCGTATTGACTAATGATGTAGTTTCAGGACACTAGTGTCTAACTAAATAATTTAATATCATCTCCAAATAACATGAAGCTAAATAATATTCACTCAAATTAGATGTACTTACTCATCATTGTTAGTTTTTCTCTTCTGTTTTTTCAACTTTGCTGCACATTGTTTATCTCCATCTTCATTATCATCTCCTACACCAGATCTGCAAGTGTTATTTAAAATTAAATGCAACAATTCAAAAATTAACAAAAATTAAACCCTTATTAGCAAAATAATTTTAAGCAGCAGTCGTCTTGGTAGCTGAAGATTCAATGGAAGCAACAGTAGAAGCCTTCACGGCCGCCATTAAAGCTCTGCATTTACCTCCGATTTCTCTCAAAGTCGCCATTGATGAAGAACAATAAAGCTGATAAAAAAATAATTTACAATTAATCAAATACTTACTTCTCTTGATGTCGTTTAAAGTATTTTAGGTTAGTTTTGGGCATGCTTGAGGAGAATTTTTGTCTTCGATGGATGCAATTTAAGAATTTTCAAGAGTTTCAAATAGTGAAATAGAGAGAGAAAAAAGAAGAGCGATTTTTTAAAACTGAAAAATAGATATGCTTTTCCTCCGGATTTTTAAATATAAGGGTATGTTTTTATGTTATTTCGTTTTGGTAAATAAATTCTAGCGCGCTTTTTTTAAGCTGGGTTTTTTAGCCCATTTATTGGATTGGGCCTGGAGTACAATAATAGGTACTCCAGGAATACCTAATACCAATTGATTCTTTTGTCTCTTTTCTCTCTCCTCTTTTCTTCTTCTCTAAGCTTAGATCCTTCATCTCATTTACTCAGAAAACACAAATTCCGCAACCATCGTTGATAGTCGTCGTTGTTGAAGCTTCAACCCAACCTATGTCTCCTCGAAGCTCCAAACCCTAACATTTCCCCCAAATTTCAATAGATTGGGGTACAAATTCATCAATTTCATTCCTATTTCCTATTGATTTTTGTTCCTCCGTCGTCGTTGTCTTCATCTTCGTTGAATATTTCATTATGGGAGAAGGCGTTAATCTGAGGGTGTGTATTTTGGTGAAGTCGAAATCTTAATATATAACGGTTGAACACGAACAAAACGCCATTGTTTTCATTTTGTCGGTCATCTTTCTTTGTCTTCCAGATCTCATAATAATTTGTGCACTTTTAAGATCTTTATTTTTATTTAGTAGACACTAATTGTGGTAGTTGGAATAGATAGTTTATAGTTAGAATTGGATCCTCGTTTTGGTATAATTTACCTAGAAAACTTCTCTGTTGAATTTTGGTGTAATTTTACCTAGAAAACTTATCTGTTGTGGTGGTTGGAATTGGTGGTGGTGTGGGGTATGTAGTGGTTTGTGTGATAAGTGAGGTGCAGCATGTGGGGGTGTGGGGTAGTGGTTTGTGTGATAAGTGAGGTGCAGCAGGTAGTGGTGTAGTGGAGTTTAAGCTTTGAGGTGGTATAGGCTTAGGGGTTACTTACTTGGTTAAGGGTTACTAGGGAGGTTACTAGGGGTTAGTAGATGAGTTTTTTGAAGGGTTACTTGACGGGTTACTTAAGTGGGGTTACTTGGTCGGTAAGGGGTTACTAGGTTGGAGGTTACTTGGTTGGTTAGGGTTACTAGGTCCGGTCAGGGGTTACTTAAGAGGTTACTTTGGGGGTTACTTGGGGGGTTACTAGAAGAGTTACTTAAGTGGGGTTGGTTACTTGGAGGTTATTTTAGGGGTTACTAATAAGACACCCTGTCGCACCGTACCAGAAACGCATTGTCTTAATTAACCACCCCCAAAATCTTGTAATAGAAATCCCAATTCCCAACTATACGTTATTTTTTTTTTTAAATATGGATTTTATTTTTTAGGAAAGATTTGTGGAATTCTTATCATATTATTTTAGCAAAAAAAAAAAAAAAAAATGGGATTATTATCTTATTATTTTGGAAAAGATATTTTAGAAATCTTGGACATATAAATTAGTACCTATAATTTTGGTATATTGGAGCTTAGCCTTTTATTCACCTTGTTTTTATGGTTATTAGATGTAGTTCTTCCTTATCAACCAATCCTGCCATGTTCATCGGTAGATTATTTAAGCACAAATATAATACGAGTACATATGATTAATAAAAAATTGGCAAAAACGGATTCCTTAACGATAATTAAAGCAAATTCATTTGTTAAATCAAGTAAGCAATTATTTCCATTCGAAAAAAAAGTAAGAAATTATTTTTTTATATAATAAATAAAAAAGATGGGTCCTAAAATAATGAATGCAGATGTATATGGCTAAAATTATGGATGCAGATATGTATGGAAAATAAATTAATGAAGTTAATTAAATATTACCTATATGATTAAAACTAATTGTTAAGCGTGATTTATGGGTGATTGGGTGTTACTTGACTAAGGCCCCATTCTCTTCACCTTAATTTTGCTGAACTAAAATTATTTTTATTGAACATAAATTATTTTGCTGAACTTAAATTATTATTACTGAACTTAAATTATTTTTACTGAACTGAAATTATTTTTGCTGAACTGAAATTATTTTTACTGATTTTCTATTATAATTCTTCTTTAATAAAACTGAATTTGCTGAACTGAACTTATTTTTACTGAACTGAAATTATTTTTATTGAACTGAAATTAATTTTACTAAACTGAACTTATTTTTACCGAACTAAAATTATTTAACTTAATATTATTTTTTTAAGGTGAAGAGAACAGGGCCTAATTTTACAATAATAATATTTGATTTCCCTAAAAAAAATCAACTGACGTACACAATTATATAAAATTACAATTTTGATACAAAAATACAATATTATTTAAAATTACAATTTTGATATAGCTTTAAAAATTAACAAAATATTTATATAGCTTTAACATAATTCTGAGAATTTTCTACGTCATTTTATATCTAACTTATCTTTCGTAATCTTTATTTTGATCAAAATTTGTCAACTACATTTTTAGATTTTATTTTGTTTATAAAAAACTAATTATAATGATAGTTTAATAATGGTTACTAAAAATTATTAATGAGCAAAAGTAGTTTAGGTCATTACCTATTCCACAAACAAGCTTGTGAAAATTAATTACATTTTTCGGATCAAACTGATATGATGGGACTCGAAAAGAAAAAAAAAATGAAGGGTTGTCTTCTCTGATTACACAATCGGAAGAACGCTAATCATTCAACTAGATCACTTTGGCATTGGCCACTGTGATATTATAAAACACTTATACGAGTAATTCTTCCTTAACAAGTACTTAAAAATGAGATTGTTGTTGAAATTTTCTCATGAACGAAAACCTAAAAATCAAAAGTAAAATCAATAAAACGGTAAGTCAAGCTTCTAAATTTTTCCCTTAAAGAAAGTTCATATCTTTTGGTGTCTTGCAATAGTTTTTCTAATGTGATAGATAGAACATGGATGGATGGAATGAGGTGAAGCCCAAATATTATACCACCATTGATGAACAATTTTAATGATAAGTATAATTTTGAAAAATTAATTAATATAAAAAAAAATTCATAATTTATATTTATGTATTTCTAAATGAAATACGTAGATTAAAAAAATACATAATATAAATACAATTTTAATACATTATGGACACAAAATAAAAATTAAAATACTAAATAAGGGCCAATCAGATTTCGCCATGTCATCAAATTATGGTGCCTTTTTTGAAGAATGACATTGTAGAATTTTTAGTTTTTTTCACGGTATTAAAGAAATGGGAGGAGAAGTGGAATAAGGACATTAAAAGTAGAAAAAAGTATAAAATAGTTTTTTTTTTTTTTTTTAAAGCGAGCTAAGCCATATATTAATTAGCAGATAAACGATGCATGAGTACAAAAGGAGCAACATCTTGGGGATAATCATTTTCCCAGATTTGCTCGGTTCCATAAGGAATAAGCTTAGATAAATTATGCACAACACAGTTGTCGTCACGCCTAACATGAGACCAAGAAACAGAATTGAAGCTAGAACACATGATAAATACATCCCCGAGCACTTTATCAGTATTGGCTGAGTATCTTGCCCCTTTCGAGAGCTTGTCCAACACGATCTTACACTTAGATTCTAGAATGATATCCTTCAGATTAAGCCGCCGCTTACCAATTTTCAGAGCTTGCAAGATGGCTTCTGCAACCTCTAGTGTCCAAAAAGCACAAGTTCTCCTCATCACAGCAAACAACACACTGCCAATGGAGTCTCTCCTAATAGCACCTATCCCTGCCCATCCTTCTACAGCAAGCGAAGCATCAGCATTGAGCTTCATAACTCCTGCTGGTGGTGCAGACCACTTATTTAAACTAGAAGTAGGGTTTAGGCTTGCTGTAGCATATATATATATATATACGTTTAGCATAGGACCCTTGTTCTTCCACATACCGGTTTACCCGGTTTATGAGAATATTGTTGGGAGTGCTTTTGTCCTCGAACACCTTTAGATTTCGTTCACCCCAAAGGCACCACATAAGTATCATTCCTCTTTGAACAGTCCGAGAATTGAGTCTATTCTAGCTTTCAACTAAATCACAGAAGGAGTCAGCATCATTCAATTGGAGCATACCATTACAACCACATTCATCCCAAAGGTCACGCACCCTCCCACACTCCATGAAGGCATGCTTTATCGTTTCTTCTGCAGATTGGCACCAAGGGCAGCTTGCATCATCAATCAAATGCCTGTGTTTTAGAAAACATCGCACCGAAAGAGTCCCTGTGTAAAGCCTCCAAAAAAAGTGTCGGACTTTAGGTGTCACATTGGCTTTCCAAATTGCAAACCAAGCCTGGTGGAAGGAGTTCAAATCACACCCCTTCCCAAGAAGATACGCCGTTTTAACCGTATAGTCACCTTCCTTAGAGAATGCCCAGGTTAGCTCGTCACCTAGATCATTCTCACTCAGAGGAATTGCCATAATACACCGCGTATCCCTTTCATTGAAGTTCTGCTCAATTAAATCATGATTCTACTCCATGGTTGCATTATTAATAATATCTCTAACCATTTCCAAAACCCGAGGAAACGCCACTTAGCATAAAACGGCCTTCCTCATCAGCCACCCATGAGTCCCTCCACAAATTTACAGACCTGCCATCCTCAATTTTCCTCAAAATTCCTTCCTTAATGAGAGCTTTGGAAGACCAAATACTTCTCCACGAGAAACTACCAGCAAAATCAAGTGATGAATCAATAAATTCATTATGAGGACAGTACTTGGTTTTAAACACACGGCTCAAAAGAGAATTTGGAGCCTTGACAAGGCGCCACGCTTGTCTCCCAAGTAAAGAATCATTAAACACAGATAAGGCACCACACTTGTCTCCCAAGTAAAGAATCATTAAACAGGACTCGGGATTTTGTATGTTTAACCAACTACTGTGAATAAATTGAGGTTGCCAATGGGTTGGGGACGCCGGGATGGCGGGATGTTAGTTTTATGTCTTATTAGATTCTGGTCTCATCTTGGTAAATAGAACATAATTTATGGTTTCTTCTGTATTCTGTAACTTCTGTTTCAGTTGAATTCTGAAGGATTGTGTCAGTTGCATTATCAATTGATGCAGTCGCTTCATCAAGCACCAGCACCCTACTTCTTCTCAGCAAAGCACGCCCTAGACAGAACAGGTGTCGTTGCCCCATGCTCCAAGTCCCTCTTGTTATTTGATTACCAGAAAGCATATTACTCAAAATTCGCAATGGGATTTTCTGGCGTCCTCTTTGCCATACAGTCACTCAAGGCATTTGGATCTACTGACTTTGTCTCAGGGCTTATGTAATAGAACTTGGTGATATTTTAGTAGGAGTGTTTATCTTTGTATGGTTTTATTTTGGAGCTGCAATTTATGTTCCTTTGAACTCTTTGTGACAATTTGATTAAGTAATTGGATTTCCCTTTTTCCCTAAAAAAATAGTTATTAGTTGATTGTATATTAATTGTATACTATATTTGTATAAAATAAAAATATCTCTCATTATTAATTGATAAAATAGTGTGCAAAGCAATTAAGCATTTGCTGGATTTTTTTATTTTTTATTTTTAATTAGATCACACACTATTTGTAACGGGCATATTTTAGGCCCGTTACAAATAAGTAAGTATTCGTAACATGCAAAACATGTTCCGTAACGAATAACGGGGTTATTCGTAACAGACATATGGATGCCCGTTACGAATAACGGGTTATTCGTAACAGACATTTGGATACCCGTTACGAATAACGGGTTATTTGTAACGAACATTTCAAATGTCCGTTACAAATAAATTGTTATTTGTAACGGGCACTTGTTTGCTCGTTACAAATAAGTTCAAATAACATTTGCTATCCGTAACGGCAGCATACGTAACGTCCGTTGCCCGTTACGGATAGACTGTTTTTGCCAGTTACGGATAGGCTTTTTCCACTAGTGAATATCATGAATAAACTTTTATTAAATGGATAAATAGAAAGAAATATAGCTTAGTAAAGTTTATAATTTATACCAATATAGCAAGTACAATGGATGTACACTTATGAACTTCCCACTTGAGCTAAATATGTAGTCCTCAAGCTAAACTCGTGCTTCACATATGAATCTATTAAAAAATAAAAACCAAAATTAGCAACATCACTAATTCTCTAATTTATTCACAATTCTCTAATTTATTCACAATTCTCTAATTTATTCACAACTAAGTAGCAAGATCACTAATTTCTAATTTATTCACAATTCTCTAATTTATTAACAATTCTCTAAATTATTCACAATTCTCTAGTGTATTCACAATTCTCTAATTTATTCAAAATTAAGTAGCAAGGTCACTAATTCTCTAATTTATTCACAACTAAGTAGCAAGATCACTAATTCTCTAATTTATTCACAATTCTCTAAATTATTCACAATTCTCTAATGTATTCACAATTCTCTAATTTATTCACAACTAAGTAGCAAGGTCACTAATTCTCTAATATATTCACAATTACCCATTAAAACAACCTAAAATTACACATTAAAACATACCAAAATTCAACTAATTAAGTAACACTTTTACTAATCTCTAATATATTCAAAATTACTCATTAAATCAACCTAAAATTACCCATTAAAACATTCAAAATTTCAACTAAGGAACAAGGTTACTATCTAATCTATAATATAATGTATTCAAAATTTCCCAATAA